CCCCACTTTTTTTTTTCCCAAAAATTAGTAAAAAGCTCTCCTTGATTGCTACATCGGTGATACTCACTTCCTATAGCCTTGGGTTATGTATGCTCGCCAAACTGAGTGGGGGGAGATTCGCGATCTTCCCCTAGCTTTTTTTTTCGAAAAATCGGTTAAAAAAACTCTCGTTGATTGGCATATTGGTGACTGTCATTTCCCATAATCTTGGGTAATGTACGCTCGCCAAACTGGGTGGGGGGAGATTCGCAATCTTCCCCCACCTTTTTTTTTTCGAAAAATCAGTTAAAAAACTCTCGTCGATTGGAACATTGGTGATACTCACTTCCCATAGCCTTGGGTTATGTATGCTCGCCAAACTGGGTGGGGGGAGATTCGTGATTTCTCCCCACGTTTTTTTTCTTCGAAAAAGCAGTAAAATCGCTCTCCTTTGTTGGTACATTGGTGACTGTCACTTCCTATAGCCTTGGGTTATGTGTGCTCGCCAAACTGGGTGGGGGGAGGTTCGCGATCTCCCCCCACCTTTTTTTTCTTTGAAAAATCAGTAAAAAAACTCTCCTTGATTGGTACATTGGTGACTGTCACTTCCCATAGCCTTGGGTTATGTATGCTCGCCAAACTCGGTGGGGGGACATTCGCGATCTCCCCGCACCTTTTTTTCTGAAAAAGCAGTTAAAAAAACCCTTGTTGATTGGTACATTGATGATACTCACTTCCCATAGCCCTTGGTTATGTATGCTCGCCAAACTGGGTGGGGGGAGATTCGCGATAGCCCCCCACCTTTTTTTTTTCGAAAAAGCAGGAAAAAAACCCTCCTTGATTGCTACATTGGTGATACTCACTTCCCATAGCCTTGGGTTATGTATGCTCGCCATACTGGGTGGGGGGAGAATCGCGATCTCCCCCCACCTTTTTTTTTTTCGAAAAATCAATGAAAAGGCTCTCCTTGAGAACCCCGGACGGGGCATAGCGTTCCCGGAACGCCTTACCCCTGACCCATCCCTACGGGGAGAGGGAGCGGTGGTACGGCGTCTCGGGAACGTCGTACCCCGTCTGGGTGCGAGCCCCGGACGGGGTACGGCGTTCTCGGAACGCCGTACCCCCTCCGGGGTCCGCAGCCCGGAGGGGTTACGGCGTTCCCGGAACACTGTACCCCCGCATCTTCTGCCCAAAGACATAGGGCGGTGGTACGGCGTTTGGGGAACGCCGTACCCCCTCCGGGGTCCGCAGCCCGAAGGGGGTACGGCGTTCCCGGAACGCCGTACCCCCGAATCCCCTGCCCAAAGAGATGGGGCGGTGGTACGGCGTTCGGGGAACGCCGTACCCCNATCCCCTGCCCAAAGAGATGGGGCGGTGGTACGGCGTTCGGGGAACGCCGTACCCCTTCCGGGGTCCGCAGTCCGGAGGGGGTACGGCGTTCCGGGAACGCCGTACCCCGCATCCCCTGCCCAAAGAGATGGGGCGGTGGTACGGCGTTCGGGGAACGCCGTAGCCGCTCCGGGGTCCGCAGCCCGGAGGGGGTACGGTGGCCCGGAACGCTGTATCCCCGGCTCATCTCTGCCGGCAGAGGAAGCGGGGGTACGGCGTTCCGGGAATGCCGTACCCCCTCCGGGCTGCGGACCGCGGAGGGGGCACGGCGTTCCCCGAACGCCGTACCACCGCCCCATCTCTTTGGGCAGGGGATGTGGGGGTACGGTGTTCCGGGTACACCGTACCCCCTCCGGGCTGCGGACCCCGGAGGCGGTACGGCGTTCCCGGAACGCCGTACCCCCGCTCCCTCTCCCCAACGAGATGGGGCGGGGGTACGGCGTTCCGGGAACGTTCCTCCTCTGGCGTGCACACCCGGAGTAGGGGTACGGCGTTTCCGGAACGCCGCACCCCCGCTCCCTCTCGACCGGGAGAGAGAGAGGGGGTTCGGGGTTATCAGAACGCCGTGCCCAACAGAAGGGGGTGAGCGTCCCCTTAGGCTTCGCATCTACGCACTCGGAGGGGGTGAGGCTTTTCGAAGCGTGATCCGATAKAGAAAGGTTTGATATSTGAATGCCTTGCCTTCTACTGTTCGGATTGTGCCAACCGTCAGGAGGAGCATCTGGCGTACCGGAAAAGAGGGTCTATAAGACCTCCTCGATGTATAGAGATAGGGAGTGGGCCCTTGATTGGGTGSGGGGCCTRCACGAGGCGGGATGTGGGGCCGYTGTGTTCCTGAAGAACGCSGCGGCCGACGACTGGTTCTGTCTTGGAGGGATCATAAAATCCGAGGATGAGAGGGCGGACGGGCACGGACGGAAGTTCAAGAGGTTCTTCCTCACGACAGTGTTTGACGAACACGGAGTGGACCACGCTAAGGTTGACCATAAAGTCAGCCTTGACTACAATTTATTCAAGGGGTATGGAGCTAAGGCGATTACCATGCGAGCGTTTAATGTATCCCTGAAGGAAGACGGGAGCGCGTTGACGATGCTTGACCCCGTGAAATTCCTCGCCAAAACAAACGGGTACAGCAAGCCGGGCATCGAATGTCTTCGACGCTCGTGCCTTTTGACACGCCGGACGAGGATCTCCCGGATATAGCGAAGAGAGTGAGACAGAGTTCGGCGGATTGTTTTCCAACGCAACAGACCTCGAGTGGTGGGAGCCGGCTTCGAAAAAAACAGAGCCAGCCGCGTCGTCACACCGAGGAAGGGGCGCGAGGTCCTTCTGTCGAATCGGCCCGCTTGAAGGAATGTGCAGGACCGTCTCGGCAGTCCGCCCAGCAACGCGGAGGCACCCCTGTCGTCACATCCTCAAGGAAGGGATCGTCGGGTCGTCGGGCTCCTGATCGCCAGGAGGGCAATGGAGGTGCGTCCAAGAGGGCAGCCCTGCGGGAGAGGAGCGAGGGATCAGACGAAGAAACGGAGAACGATTCCAAGATTCATGTCGAGCGGAACGCGCAGGGTAATCTTGCCGTCGACGATGAGCAATGTGGGGTCCAAGAGGACGCTGCCAACGAGGACATAAGCGAGCGAGAGAGAGAGGGCGAGGAGCGTGAGGACTCTCTGCCCGACTGCGAGGACGGAGAGTCTCGACTGTTCGATGGGGGCGACTATGGGGACGGTGGGGAAAACGATGATAACTGCCTTGCCGATGATGAGGATGGAGGGGAGGAAGGGTCGGATGATATGGAGGTCGATGAGGGAGCAGGAGATCTGTCGGAGGGCAGTGTGCAGAAAAGGAAGCGGCGATCTTCAACAAGTCCGACGGGGGCGGCGGATAAACGCGCTGCTAAGAGACTCACAGTCGCTGTATCTCGGGAGGCACTAAGAGTTTCTCAAGAGGCGGCCACTGATAGCGTGAAGAACAGAAAAGGGAAGGCGTTAACCAGAGCGACAAAAGCGGAGAAACGTCCGATGAAAAGAAAGCAGATGGTTGACGAGGGTGACTCCGGAGAAGACGCCGAAGGGGCTGCTCTTAGGGCTCCGTCCGAACAAACAGAGCGTTCCTCTGACAATCGATCTGTCACAGTGGACACAACAAAGTGCTTCTTCTTGGAGTTCGACGAAGATGGCTACGCGAGAAAGGATCGGGTACACATTCAAGTGGATGTAACGAAGATCTTGCCAATTCCGGAAGGTGACATCCTCTACAACCACAGAACGTTGGACGAAAAGTTGGTGCAGTCCATACACGATGCGATCCATAATGCGGCCAAGGAAACCAGCGGCAAGTGGGATTTCATGAGTTTCATCCTGGCCCCCATTGTGCCCTGCCGGGACGACTCTCAAGGCAGACGGATCACACCACAGGAATTCGACGTCGAGGAGGCGCATACGTACCACTGGTATGCTGTTGCCGGCCAGCATACGGTTGAGGCTATGAACAAACTCACAGTGGACAAGTCACCGACCGAGAAAAAATACGGCTTGAGGTCATATTCTCACGTGTGTGTTGTCTACTTTGACGACAACACAAAGAGAGGATATCCGTATGTCTCGGCATTCGACAACACAAGGGAAGAACGTTCTGTCCCGCGATCGTTTTCCTCGTCGGTGTGGCAAATCAGAACTTATTGGGAGAAGAGGTGTGGCCGCATCCGTCTTCCAGGCACCGTGTCCCCAAATGACGTGGAAGGATTGAAACAAAAAAAGAAGTGGGAAGAGTTCATGAATGCCGCCTGCAAAATGGCACCGGATTCCAGTCTCGTGACGTCGTCCCTGGAGAACGAGTATTGCAAGGACTGGACGAACAAGATGCGGGGATACATGAATCTTGCGCAGTGCGGCGAAACGGTGTGGCCATTGGTGGATAGATTTTTAAAAATGTACGAGGAAGGGCAGCTGCCAAGAGTTGACGGTGTAAAATACATCGATCTGTCGGGGAAAGTGGAAGGGAGGCTACCGGGGCAGTACTTTATCATGGACAACTCCGGGAAAAAAATCTTGTTCCACTGCATCAAGGCCAAAAAGGGGCCTCCAGACGCAACGGTGTCTATACCGGACTTGACGCCCTCCAGCTTCAAGCTGTTTGGGGATATGATAGCGAGAGAGAAGCAAGTGGCGCTACACCACATGATGCGTGCTGATGTTATCGTTACATCACGTATGGTGCCGCGTGGAGGGTGCAACATGGCGGACCTAGTAAAATATACTCGGCGAGAGAGATATATGGTCCGCATGTTCAACTACATATTGTTCAAGGTCGAGGAGAGGTCAAAGGATGAGTGAAACGCAGACTTCTTCATCGGTTATACGACAATCATGGAGAGGTATAGCAAAAACGGCCTCACCGACTTGAAATGGACCGAGGAACGCGACCGCATCCCTGACGACAAGGTGAGGAAAGTGTCGAGGCGTTTGGGCGGTCCTGATGAGATAAATGGCGAGAACGGTGCGGGCCTGGAGGCAACCCAAGCCATGTACAAGGAAACCCCGTTCCACCTCAAGTGTTTCATCTATGAGGCGATCGATCGCTTGGACGAACTCAGGGCTGAGGTAAATCGAATGTCCTGCAATGCTCGTCACATCTTTTGGGAAGTTGGGAAAAGGATCACAACGATCATGTCGTATGAGATCGAACCGAAGGGAGTGCTCACCGATAACGAGGAGGTTGTCGGTACCGCGAGGGGAATGAGGATACGAGCAGCCATTCTTGATATGTCAACATCACCCAAGCGTGTTCCGTGAGATGATGGCGCTTTTTTCAGAATGCACGATTTCCTCACGACGTGTTGTGGCGAAAACTGGGCATTGATCATTTTCGCGTTGATGAAGCACCGGAGACAGGTGATGCAGAGTGTGTACAAGTGGGACGATGTCGAGGTGCTCACCGGGTCTTTGTACAGACACTACACACCATCGACGACCGTGAACAGGTATGGCAACATTGCGGTTCGGTACATTGACATGATGACTATTGTTCTCCACGCCGAGAACCGCAACTTGAGCAATATAACGATTGCGCCGAAATTGCGAGCGGAGCTCACAAATTTGAACATTGAAGAGGGTGAATTTGTGAGGTGCTCAGGGGAGTGTATCGGTGTGGAGGGCGACACTGAAGCGGTTTATTCTTGGATGGAACGAGAGCCTGCACGTCTCCGGAAGCTATGCAGCTCGTTCATCAGGGAGGATGATGGCGTGATGCTGCTGGGCAAGGCACATGCGGGACTGATATGAAAACTGGGTAAGGTCGGACACCACGTGTTTGCATGCGACGACACGACAAAGGAGCTCACCTACCTTTCCAAGTTCTTGGAATTCAACGTGAACGACCCGAGGAACAAATGCAAGTTTGAAAAGCCCCAAGTCGAGCACCGCAAGGACCGGGATATATACTACAAGCTCGGTAGGAAAAGGGATAAAGTGTGGGCTTACTTGTTCGGTGACGCTCCACAGTCAGCATTTGATAACGACTACGTCCTTAGGAAAAGCGAAATCGAGATGGCAATGAACGAGTACCACGGCTGCCACATGGGTGCTTTCCACATGTTCGTCGCACGTTGCGAGCATCTCTATTTCAATATGAAGAAAATAGCACTGGACAACCGGGACTATGTAGACTTAGCACGTAAAGCCGACAACTTCAACAACATCGATTGCGACGAAGACACATCAGACTCCGACCTGGACATCCCATCGCGCGCAGCATGAGGTGCGGTGGGGGGAGCGCCTGGAGTAGAGCCGCAGGGGAGCACCAATGGACCTGCGGACAGGCCGAGCTCGAGCATGGGGGAAACATATGGAAATGAGGGGAATGCGGAAACACGAAACACCGGAAGTGGGGAAAGGAATGGTGTAGCGATAAACCCGGTGGGTGCGGGCGAGGGGACAGTTAACTCACAGGGCACCATAGGGGGGGGAGAGAATGGGTGCCCAATGGGCCCGCCGACAACCGGACCATCATCGACACGTGGAACGCAGGCGGAGCAAAGAACAGTCATGTATATGGACATCGATGACGACGAAGAGTTGGACATGACAGCGATCAAGTCGAAGCTCGTGCCAGGAAGACCGTTGCCTCAAGGATTTGCCCCGAACCCGTCGGTGCCATACTTGCTGCAGGACAAGTACAAAGAGTCATCGGAGGACGATTGGGGTCATCATATCCTCAGGCACGAGGGTGTGTTCGAACCGTGCGTGTTCGCAGGGACATGGCAGATGGCTGTGAAGACAAGAGACCGAGGCTGGGTCGCAAAGGAGAAAAAGGACGCTGCAATATGGCACAGCGTGATGGAGACGCAAATTCATCGACGAGTTTTGAAAGAAAACGACGGTGCGAGCGAGGAGGCTATAGCAGCGAAGGCGAAAGCTTTGTTCGAGCATCTGCGCGCGAACAAACAACTTGAATTCAGCACAAAGTTCTACGACCTCCCATCAAGTGTGTCGTACGGCTCCATCAATTGGAAAATCGACCTTCCTCCTGCATTGCAAGGAATAGATAGCGTCACCTCTCTAAGGACTCAAGACGTTAGCACATCTAACACCATTGTTGCGATCGCCCGAGTGGACGCTGTCTGCGAAACGGACACACGTGCGAACGCAGGCCAAGAGCAGAATGAACAGGAGCAAGCATGTGGTCAACAAAGCACTCCACGAAGCGCAATGGGGGATACGACAATGATACTCAAGGACGGCGGCGAAAATGTAATGGAGTCCGGCGCATTGACAGAGCAGCCAACAGAGGGGGCCAACGAAGGGACAACAAACGTTGGTTCTTTCGGGTCTCTCGTGGTGACAATGGCAGCGCTGAAGGGCATATCTGAGATGATGGAAACCGAAGCTGGCCATAATGATGAAAGTAATGCGGTGAAGGTACCACAAGAGGAGGTGGCAACAACAACAGAGCAAGCGGCGAAAGGTGAGGGTTCACGCGAACACATTTCTGTAATAGATATGAGATCGGAGAAAACGGGCGAGGAGATGATCCAAGACGATCCGACAAGAGTTGAGGGTGACCACGAAAAGGAAGCCCAACCACTGAGACGGTCGACGAGACTTGTGATTAAAAAAGTAGTGAAGGACGCGTAGACATTACTTAGATTGAAATGGGCGTGTGCACAGGTGAGTTGATATTGATGTGTTGCCACAATTAAGTAGGTTAAAAAAAGGTGTGAGAAAGGAATGGGTGTGTACACGTTACAAGTTTAACTGTTGTGTTGTTGCAAATGTGATCGTAACAGTGCAGTTTTAGAAATTGCACAACTGATCATATAGGGTGGCATATATCGACGCATATTAGAGGTGAGTGTGTGTGTGTGTGTGTGTGAGTGAGTGTGTGTGTGTGTGTGTGTGTGTGTGTG